TCTGCTCAGTAGGCATCTCCCTCACCTGATCCTAATGTTTACTCTCGCTTTGACACATTCCATGAATTTAGTAGCATGCATTGACCATAGAAATTGCAACATGCTTGAGGTTCAGAGTTGCTTTTAGCATCTTTAAGAAGGAAAATAAAAAATGGGTTTTCATTAGCTAAGGATGAGCGTGGGAATGTCCATAACGAACTGAAAAACCATGACAGTTTCAGACCTAAGTACTATGTTCTGGGAATGACCTGCAGATTCAGGAAATGCCTAATAGTTATTAACTAAGTGAAAAATAAATATAATCAGTACTAGCCAATTCATTATGATTGAAACTATTTGAATAATAACCTAAACAGGTGGAACATTTTGAAACAATTATAATCAAAGAAAAGGAAAGGTAACAGCTTAAAAAAATCAGCAAACGTGATTTATCAAGTGTATTTTGTAATAGGAAGTTATGACATCAGTTGAAATATGGAAGAAAATGCAAATTATTTCAGTACTGTAATAAAATTTATTCTAATGACCTAAAATGGTGAGATCTTTATTTGTAGATTTAACTTCATTAAAAAATAAAAGATGGATTCCCAGGCCTAGTTTGATGGCCTAGTGGCTAAATCCTCAATTTGCATGCAACAGGATACCCATATATGAGTTCATGTCCTGGCTGCTCCACTTCTCATCCAGCTCCCTACTGGTGGCCTGGGAAAGAATCAAGGGTAGCCCAAGGCCTTGGGACCCTGTACCCAAGTGGGAGATACAGAAAAAGCACCTAGCTCCTGGCTTCAGATCAGCTCAGCTCTGGCCATTGCTTCCACTTGGAGAGGGGACCAGTGCATGGAGGATCTTTCTCTTTGTATCTCCTTCTCTGTAAATCTACCGTCCCAGTGAAAATAAATAATTCTTTACAATTTTTTTTTGAAATATAGATTTCCAGGTATAGATAAATGACAGGAAACTTGTGCTAAGAGAAAAATTCTTTTTTTATTATAACTTGAAAGATCCTGTAAAAAGCAGAGTTTACTTAGGAGGTTGAGATATCATACAGAAGCACAGATACAGTGGAAAAGAATCAGGAAGATGAGAAATAGTACTTACTGACATACTATGGAAGGCCTGGGTTTGCAGACCAGCCCATCTGTAGTTTAGCTATGTTGTTTTTCAGTTTTGGCCACATACTCCTGCAACCCTATCATCTAGTGATGAAAATGCATACCACACTGTCAGTGGGGCTGATAATCAAAGCATCTCAAACAGGTGTGGACAACCATCCATTATGAAGATGCAATTGGTGCCAGAATACCACTGTTTGAGGTGACTTCCATTTCCACTCCCTGTGGTTGCTGTGGTTCTGAGTGCACACTCTGTGCTTCAGATTAAACCTAGGGCACAGGAAGAGGAGACAAGAAGCTGAGGGACAGACCTGAAGGTTGCTTCCTGTCTGTTAAGTTCTGCATTAATACACTAGACTTGTATTTTAGGTAAGCCAATCTGTTAGAGAATCCCTGTTATAAAAATGATCACGTTAAAAAGTTAACCTTCCCTGAATCCAGCAAGCCCATGTTTTCAGATAGACTCTATTCTTATCTTATTCTGTTATCTTATTCTTATCTATTTTATGTATGTATGTATTTATATTTCAAAGGCAGGCCTCAGAGGGAAGGAAAGGCAGAGAGAAAGACAGAGACAGAGAGAGAGATAGGTTGTGTATTCACTGGTTCACTCTCCAAGTGGCCTCAGCTGAGATTACCTGAAGTCAAGACTGAGGAGCTTCAGGGCATGTCATGTGGATGCAGAGTCCCAAGGACTTGGGCTGTCCTCCACTGCTTTCCCAGGCCACAAGCAGGGAGCTGGATAGGAAGTGGAGCAGCCAGCACTGGGACTGGTACCCATATAGAATGCTAATGCTTGCAGTTAGAGGATTAGCCTATTGATTCACCATGCTAGCCCTTTCTTTTCTCCCCCCCCCCCCCCCCGCTTAAGAGTAGCTTACTTATTTGAAGGGCAGAGATGGAGAGAGAGAGAGTGGGAGCTCTTAGATCTGTTAGCTTACTTGTCCACAAGGCCTGGGACTGGGGGAACCTTAAAGAGAAAGTCCAGGAGCTTCTTCTTAGTCTCCCTTGTGAGTGTGTGGGTCCAAGCATTAAACCTCTTCTGCTGCTTTGCCAGATGTATTATCAGGGAATTCAATGGAAAGTGCACCAGCTGGGATTCAGCCATCACCCATATGGAATGCCTGAATTGCAAGCAGCATCATAACCCACTATGGCAAATGGTCAACCTGAAGCTTTCTTTTTTTTTTTTTAATATATTTTTATTTGAATTTCAATTTCATATAGACTGGGATCTTGAACCTTTCTTTAAGAGAAGAGACAAACCACCAGAATACATCCTTTTCCAAGAGCCCTTATTCTCCAAGATCCACTGGAGAATAACCAAAATATGTTTTGTGCTATTTTACATGCTTTATATTTCCACAGCTCACCCAACATACCACTCTGTGGAGCGTGTTGTGTAGTTGAGCAGTATAGACACATAAGCCACCATTGTTGATGTGAATTGATTGAAAGATCCAAAGACAAAGAATGTGCTTCTATTAACCTACGGCCAAGAGATGCAGGTCATTGTGCTCAGGACTGGCTCATGTTAGGGAACTCTTGGCCAGTTCTGCCAGTTGCCTTAGCCATATGGGACCTTTGTTCTATAGGCCCTTGGGTTTTCAGACATACAGCTTGCCTTGCTGGAAGGCATTTTCTAGCCCTGAAGTCAGAATTGGAGGCTCAACTTGTATGAGAGAAAAGAAGAGCAACAGCGTAGGTCAGGAAGAAAACCCAGAGAAATCCCTGAGGACTGTGGAGGCCTGTAATGGAAGACAATGGGACTGCATGGCGAATTCCTTCATTTCCTGGAAAAGGGGCTATTTCACAAGGCTCATTTCAGGACCTAAGCCTGAGCTGGGTAACAGTGTATATATTGATTGGCAGCCACAATACCTAAGTATTGCCCAATTTGAAGCCTTAGGAACTTTTCAAAGTACTCCAAAGTGGATTACTTCACCTGCTGGAAAAATGGAACATTTTAGTAGTTTTGAAGATCTTCTCTGGGACCTGAGAAAAGAGTTTATTTAATTTTTTAAAAATGGGCCTACTGGTAAAATGGGAAAATATTTTATCATTTTTGCCTTAAGAAAAAAGCAAATTGGATCTGAGTCTGCATAATAATATCGCAGGGGCAAGAGATTCCCATATGAATTAGAGTTTTATTTGAATAGACATTAGTAAAATGGGCTGGAGTAGTGATGTTCCTTGGGCAAGATTTTACTAACGCTGTTTGACAGCTGTCATTCTGAGTGCCTGGGTCTTAGGAAAGATGTGAGATTTGGGGAAGGAGCTTGAAAAGATATCCCTGTAAATCTATTAGCCTTAGCTAATAATTTGTTTCTTTAGTACTGAGATATCTCTGTTTAGAGTCAAAGGTGTCAAGGATTCTAAAGTATTTCTAGGGATGGCCTGATAACAATGAAAATCATATTGTTGGAAATTTTAAGAATAGATTCATGCTAATGGGAGTAGTTGTACAAATGAGATTCTGCATTACTGTCCATTTAATGCATTTCTTTGTATTGATTGGTGGAAGCTGATTGTTATAGCCAGTCCATCCTTACTAAGGGAGTTCTTTACTCTTCAAAAATATGTGCAGCAGACTTCTATGATATTCAGCATTTCACATGCAATTATTTTTCTATTGGACGTGAAATATAAAGCATGTGCATTTCAATATCAGAGCATTGAAATTGAGTTCATAGCAAATTTATGAATGAAGAGTAGAAATCTCTGTCACTAAAACTGGAATATTGGAAGCTATTTTGAAAACCAACTTGAAAGATATTTTTTAAATTTACAGTCTAAATCATAGAGAATAGGACTATATGAATAATTCACATAGCCTTAGAAATGTTAATTAGATAGTTTAGACACTGATGTATCATTTAATTTTGACTAATTGATTAAAAAAAATTCCTGGCCAAGTGTGTGATTTTTTTTTTCTGTTTGTTTTAAATCCTATAGGAGATTTCTGGGCTTTAATTAGAATTCCATACCAAGTGCCAGTTTGTATTGACTGTACAGTGAGTGGGCTGGTGTCGGCAGATGACGTGTGCTCTGCCTCCTTGTCACTTTGTGAATGGATTGTGAAGGGTTTGCTAATTTGCTCCTCACTCCACTGGAGCAGATACTCTCCAATATCTGGTGTGTCTCAGACTATTTGCATAATAAGAAGAATGGTTTGGAAGAGGGTTGTGTGGGAAATAAAATAATAAGGTGCATTAAAATAGAAATACTTGCTCTTGTCTGCTTTTGTTCTGGTAGCTTCAGAAATAGTCTTGACTTTACTGCTTTCCAGACAAGTTCTTCTCTGGAAAGGGTGAGTTAGGGCCAGGACTCCATCTGCCTTGCCTGAGCCCTGCTTCAGCCTTTCCTCAATCACTGCTCTAAACCTCCACTGCCTTGCCCCTCAAGCATGTATGAGTGCCAAGTGGGACTTTCTCTCTTTAGCTGCCCTTATATAAGCAAAAAATATGACCCTGTCCTCAGTCTACAGAATGAACTGCCTCCCTGCTTGCTTCTTTTTTTTATTTGGTTAGAAGAATGTGGCCGATGATACTTACATTTCTGCCTAAAGTAAGGGTGTGAGCAATGCACTTGCATTTCCCTTTAAAGCAGACCTATAAAGGACAGGGACTTGGTACCAAGCAGGAAAAGCAGGGGTAGTGATGGCTGAACTGGCTGAGATACATAGCCCTTAGCCTGAAACAGAATACGGTACACAATGTTTATGTTGGATTTATGGAATGGCTCCTCTCCAGCGCTGTCCCTGCTCTATACAATTTGGTGCTTTGTTGCTATCGAAACCGCCTTACTTTCTAAGCCATTGTGATTGTGCAAGGGGAGGAGGCTGTGGCGGGCAGGGGTGGAAGTAGTAGTGAATGACACAGCTTTGCCAGATGACATGTAGCGGACCTCTGCATCAGCCAAGAGGAATTAAGCTTTGTCACTCTCCACTGGGACTACCTTGCTCCTGGTATGTGCGCAAGGAATTCATATGCTGCTGCCGCCGCAGCCGCCAGAGCAGAGCCCTGAGTACACTTTGCCACAGAGAGCAGTGAGCAAGAATGATAGCTGTCTCTTTTAAATGCCGTTGTCAAATTCTGAGGCGACTTACTAAAGGTACGGTGCTTTCCTTGTTATTCACTCAGCGAGTCTTTTGCAGTATCCTAAAAACACAGCTTAATGGTTTTTACTTTTAAATATGACCGCCTTTACAATTTATTGTCAGGCAACAAAGAACTCAGTGAAATATGTTTAGAGATCCATGCACAGGTAGAATTGGCTTTGCTTTCTCTCTTACTTACTGGCTACGTTCATGCTGAAATCATGGAACTGACGTGTGTGTGTGTGTGTGTGTGTGTGTGTGTGTGTGTGTGTGTGTGTGTGATTGTATGTCTAGCTGAAAGGAATGTGTTTGAGTCTGGTGCTAAAGTTATTGTGGAAACCATCATTTTGCATGCTGATTAACTGGTCAAGAGGACTCAAGTGTGTGTTCCTGTCCTTTCTGTGAAACACTCACCGAATGCAGCTGGCAGCTTCAGGACTCACACAGCTGGTGAATCCATGGAATAACTGCTTATTCTGTTCATTTCCAGCATCTTATGAGCTTTATCCCAGGACAGCTCGCTTGCTCGCTCACTCTTTCTCTCTGTATATATGTATACATATGTATATATATATATATATATTAGAATTATGTATTAGCATTACATGATTATAAATGAAGATAATTCCAGATGCCTTGGTTCTGTGTGATATTTGAAGTTTATTTGAAAGTAAAAATCATTGCTCTGCATCTTTTCACGAATTATTGTTTTGAGATGGTCATCTCCCTTAGAACTGCATAATGTTAATTAAATTTCTGCAATTTTAAAATATGCTTTTCTTTGAAATCTCTTTGAAATGAAATAGCTGTGCCAACTCATTTACTTCATGTGCATTCTGTTGCAAAGTTAGTGAATGGCTGCTTTAGAAACCCTCTTATGTCCTTTCTCTTAAAGATAGGCAAGTCCTTCCACCTTATTTCCTTCATATGGAATCTTCTTTAGAGAAAATTTTTCATGAAAAGAAACAGAAGCTTCACTCTGAGTATAAGTGTGCTTTTTTAGCCTGTAATACAGAGTACTGTCAAGTAATTAATGGGTGTAATTATGCCCTAGAAGCTCTGAACCTATAAATATGTTAATGGATGCTATTTCTATCAGTTTAGCTTGACATATCAGAGTTCTTTGATCACCAGCAGTGCAGCTAAAATTGCAATTAATATTTTATTTGGCAGAAGAATGAGCACAAAGCAAATAGTGAGACATAGATCTTGAGTCAGTAACAGGAAAGAGAATAAATACCATAGACCAACTTACCGAATGCATTTGCAAGTTGTTAGGGGAACAGAGTGAGTCCTTTAAAAAGTACTTTGGGGGAAATATAGGGAACAGTATCCATTTTAAATTAAACTGTTTGTATGGGGCTATAAATTCTGTTGTGACTATATCCTATGCAGTAGGTACAAATGTGTAATTTCTGTTTATAAACCACTGTTTAGAAACTATCCTTTATGTTTGATTTTGAAAATGGGTTTCTTTTGTCTTGGCTGATTTTAACTTGGACTTGGCTTGGTGTTATGTGTCTGATGCTCTTATAATATCACCATGGAACATTCAATATTTTCTACTCATAAAGATCAGAATTTTTTTAAGTCATGCATTCTATGAACAAAATGAACTAAAGCACTTCCTGGTTCTTAAAAATATTTTTTGGGTTTTTTTTTTGTTTGTTTATAAAGTCTTCAAGAGTCTGAGTCTTTAAGAAATGCTAAATTCCTGAACTGAAAGAAGTGCTAAATGTTTAGTTTGGGAAAAAAAATCTAGATACTTGAAGAAATTAGTAGTGTCTTCCTTGTAGTTCCTGCTTCACATATTTTTTCCAAAATCTTTGTTTCTGCTTCAATTGCTTTTCAGTTTAAGATTGCCAATTTATCATCAAAATAAAATCTGAGTTTGGGATCACTTTGCTGTGATTGGGCTCCTCTTCGTGTTTGTCTAAAGCTCCATGTCTGCAAAATAAAACAGAAATACAGGGTCTTGCCTCGCCATTCACCTGTCCCCCTGCCCAAGGGCAAGCATCAGCAGTGCCACCTGTTGCTCCAAGTGTGATGTACTGAGTTCTAGAAACCCAGCCTTATCTGTGATAGTATTTTCTTAGGATGTAATAATGAAACCATGAAATAGATTAATTACTCTCTTAAATTTTCTTTCTTTGATATTTGGATGTGAGGGCAGATACGCACTACATTTCTTTCATCCCATTTATCCTACCCACACCCTCGCCATCAACCCCCAATGATATGTATTTTTTTTATATTGATTGAGCACTGCGCCTGATCCTCTTCTTGAGACTTAGAACAGTGCTCGGTACAAGGAGGTACTTACAAACTGTTAACATATCTTAAATTGATAGGACATTTGAATTTTCTCAGAATTTCAGCACATACCTCAAGAGCTTCTTTAGACTATTTGTGGCTAAAATATTGCCCAGATTTTAGGAGGTTAAAGATTTACTTCATGTCTCCAAAAATTCCTTTGCTAATTGCATTTGATGTCATCCACAAGAAAATGTAGTATAATCGATGCAGTAGCTCTCTAATTGTTGCAAAGAAAAATGTAAATAAAATGAGACTATTTTCAACATGCTTCTATATTGTTAGCACCTTACTTGTATTTCATCTTTCTTCTATATCCTCCATATATTATCTATTTACAAACACTTAATAAGTACCTAGTAAGTATCAGGAGCTGATAAATTTGCACTAGACTGCTTAGCTGGGACATTTTATGAGTGAATTGAGCATTTTAAAATGAATATGTTGTTGGATAGTAAGGTTTCCTTTATCTAAGGTATAATTTCACAATATCCATAAAGCATTATCCCTGGTAAAACTTTTGACTTATCCCCCAAATTGATACATTGTTCACATATTTGTAGTAAGAACATATTACAGTTGATTTTAGCGCTTTCACGTTTGAGAATGGAGTCTTTTTCTTAATAAAACTTCAAGCAGCTATTCCTGTTCTTTTCCTTATCAGGTTCATACCATTATAGAGTAAAAACAAGAGAATAATATTTGCCCCTAAAGCCTGTTCCTGTCATCTATGGCAGGAACTTTCTGCTGATAAAATATCAAGCTCATCACTGTCAAAAGTATCCTTTAATGGGTGGGTTTTTGGTCTAGTGATTAAGATCTCTGTGTCCCACATCAAAATGCCTGGGTCTGATGCCTGGCACCAGCTCCTGACTGCAGCTTCCTGCTAATCCAGACCCTGAGAGGTACCAGACTGTGGCTCAAGTAACTGCATCCCACCACGCATATTAAGGTGCTGAATTGAGTTGCCAGAATCCAGCTTGAGCCTGGTCTGGTCTCAGACCCAACCATCTCAAGAAATAGGGAGTTAACCAGCAGAAGGGAGCTTTCTTTATGTATTTGTTTCTCTTCTTAATAAATAATTAACAGTTTCCTTTTACATCTGACACACAATTTCAGCAGAGACTCGCCAACCATCCTTCCATTGCTGCTTTTCCCTCCTCCCTCCCTCCAGAATGAGCCTGTCTACTGGAGTCAAGTCCAAAAATAACATTTTTTTTTTCATCTCTCTGTCCGTATCTGACAAAGGGATTTTCTTCAGTAAAGCTGGGCATCCTGGTGCCTACCTGCACAGCTGCTTGCCTCTGCAAGCTCTGCTGTCTCAGCTAAAGGCTACATGGTTCCTCCGAAGGATGTTTTCAGAGAAGGGAATGTATTTTCCTGACTCCTCCAGGCTTTGTTTCTTTTTCTGTTGTCATGATTAGGTTATTACTTTTCCTTGAGACAAGTTGGCTTGTATGCAAAGAATCATTTTCTTTAGTGCTAATTGCTCTGCATGTCTTTCTTTCTCAGGCGCTACTGTTTTTAGGGAAGAGACCCTGAGCTATTGTGGACCACCTGCCATGGCGCTTTCTTCACTCAGCTTTGCTCTGTCTACCAAAGTCAACCTCAGCCCCTTCCTACTTGCTGATATCCCACAGGGAGCACAGCTAAAGTCCTTTATTTGCATTTTGTCACTCCATGTCTTCTTCCTACTGGCTCAAAATTTTGTCCAAAATCTCTGTTTTCATTTTAATGCAAATTTCAAAATTTTTCATTGTAGCTAGGCTACATGTCATTTGATTTCTAACTGCCTCTCCCCACCCGTTACCCATTAACTTCCTTCAGGCAGCTCTGTTGACCTTCCTCACGGTGGGGTGCTGCCAGGACACCTGTGCAGCTATCCTCAGCTGCTCCCTGCGGTGCATTTGAATTTCTGCCTGTCTCTCTCCTTTATTCTTCCTCTTAACCTTCATATTCTTTCTTCTATTCTCCAACCTGGCATGCTTCTATATTGCCTTATTTATTGGCACAGAGCAGGATTAAAAGATGTGTTGATTACACCTTCATTTCAGTCTTGGCTCCATACACTTGTCCAGTGATGGAATCATCAGACTTGAAAAGGAAGGTCAGACATTAACATAGGATTTGTCTACAGAGAGAACTGAAACTCAGCCAGTTTAGCTAGCCAACAGTCTATTCTTATTTCTCTCCAACATTAACCATCTCACAATTTGTCTGATAATCTTTCTAAGGATTCAGTTGAACTGAGTCCCTGTAAACTCAGAGATCCTTTGATACTCATCCCCTCTCCAGTTTTGAGAAAATATAGCTGAAAGGCAGATGACAGAAAGAGGGAAGGAGGCAGAAAGAGACTATCTTGCCTCTGCTGGTTTACTCTCCACCTCCTGCAGCAGTCAGGGCTGGGCCAGGCTGAAACAAGGAACCAGGAACTCCATCCAGGTCTCTTATGGGTGGCGGGAACCATTACTAAGGCAGCATCTGCTGCTCTCCAGTTGTGCTTTAGCAGGAAACTTGTTTGGAAGAGGAGGGAGGGTTCTGTTGTATGTGCTGTGGTAGGGAGTGTGGGAGTGCTGAGTGGAGCCTTAATCCACTGCTGTGCAACATCCAATGCTCAAAAATCATAATATTCAGAAAACAATTTTTATCTATAACCCCAATCAAATAAAATTATGGTTATTTTTGTCTTAATAGAAAAGAA